ACCTGCACCTCATCCCCTCGCCCCAGTCCACCAGGCACTATGCCTGCCCACCTCTCACTGTTGTTCTAGACCTCCGCACTGGCCTCAGGTTCCTGTTCCATCCACCCTCCCCTCCTCCTCATGAAAATAAAAGGCATCAGCGAATTGGGCGATTTCAGTGAAAAGCAGCTAAGAAACACTGTACACCTATCCATGGCAAGGAGAGTGCCCAGGACGGGAGGAACCTGCCACGCACCTTCTAACACCTCCAACTGGCTTCTTGTCTATTGCAGCCCAAGGAAGGCAAACAGGACGTGGTCAGGATTTCTGGGCACTCTGGCCGATAGCTCCAAAATGGGGCCGTACGTGGGGGCCATCCCTTACCGGTTCCTCTAAAAGCCCATTCCCTTGCTGCTGAGACTCACCGGAACCAAAGGGCAGCGAACACCCTTCTTTCTCACCTGGCCTAGAAAATTTAAGGGTTTCAAATGCCATGTCGATCGATATCTGTTAGGTTGTATAAATATCTCCAGGCAGGAATCAACTAGTTACACCCATCAGGACACTGTGGAATCTTTGGTGCAAAACTTTTGGCATTTGCTAGGACTTGATGAACAATAAAACTGAGCTGTTTCCGTTCTAAGCTGATATGTGCCCTCTTTGCTTTATTCAACGTGGGGGATCAACAAAGGGTGGTACAGATTTTGCAGACCTGCAGAAACTGAGTCTCCAGATACCAGGGAATATCAAGAAGCCCTGTTTTGCAGACATGGGGGTACCCCGAAGCCAGAAATGTCAGACGACACTCGGATGGCAGAAGCAGGGTTGAAACAGAGTCCAAGCCCACAAGCTGGAATTTACAGAAAAATGCAATGCTGACTTTCTTCAGGGCCACGAGGCAGTCCCTCCTCACTGTGTCCTAAAAGCAAACCTTCCACATGAAAGTCTTCCCTTAAAAAGAAGAGGTGGCAGCTAAATTTCCTAAAACCTAGAATGGAAAAAACAATTCAGAAGATTTCTGGTCTCCCTCTGGATTCACTGCTAGGCGAGGCAGGAGGACAGTTCCATAGAGTGAAACAGCCCGTTGCCATGTTACAGCCTCAGACAAAAGCAGATAAACAATCTCCTATTTTTTTTTTAATATTTATTTTGGGAGAGGAGGATTGGAGAGAGTCCCAAGGAGGATTGGAGAGAGTCTCAGAGAGACAGCTCTGAGCTGTCACAGCAGAGCCCAATGAGGGGCTCAAACTCACGAACCATGCGAGCATAAAGAGTCAGATGCTTAACCAATTGAGCCACTCAGTCACCTCTTCTCTCTCTCTCTCTCTCTCTCTCTCTCTCTCTCAATCTCTCTCTCTCAATCTCTCTCCAAATGTTAAAAAAAAAAAAAAATCTTCTAAGGCCTTTCTCAGTTCGGAGAAACAAACAGTACCGACATGCCCCTGGGGGCCTATGACATGGCACCAACTTCAGCACTGCCACAATCAAATGAATGCCTCCCAGATTCAGAAGTCCAAGAGATTACGAATTTGAAATCTGGACAAATACAAAGTTGAAATCCTCAAACAGGTTGTGGTATATTCATGCCCTAATCCCTGGAACCTGTGAATGTTACTTACATGGACAAAAAGGAGGAGTGGGGGGTTCCCTTTGTAAATATGATTAAGGGCTTTAAAATGGGAAGAGTACCCTGGGTTACCCAGTTAGGCCCTAAATGCAGTCACGTGTGTCCTTCCAAGGGAGAGGGAGAGGGAGATGTGAAGGTGGAGTGAGGTGGCCACAGGCCAAGGCGCACCAGGGCTCCAAGGAGCACCACATGAATGGATCCTTCCATAAAGCCTCCAGAGGGAGCACAGCCCTGAGCTCCAAGACTGTGGGACCATCCATTTCTATTATTTTAAGCCAAGGTTTGCTGACTTGTCACAGGAACTGATACACGGTTTAGTATTAATTTTCTCTGCCTCCCTCCCTCAGCCACCACACACAAAAGGGCCTATTATGTGCCAGGGACTGTGAGGGGTACAGAAGACAAGGCAGAGGGCCTGGCCTTTATGAGCCCACCATCCAGTAGCATAGCTGACAAGGCCACAAATGTGCTGGGCTATGAGGCATAACAAAGCCAAGCATCCAGCATTATCCCCCAGGGGACGGCCACGCTGGAAGGTTTCACAGGGCAGGTGATGTTTCCGCTTGGCTCTGAAGGGTAAAGCTGGATCCCGACAGGTGGAGGCAGGAAGTAGTCTAAACCAAGGTCAAAGAGTGACACTGACTAATAAGTATGTGAGGCATGCTAGGAACCAGTGGGAGGTCAAGGAGAGGACAGGCTGGGAGACTTGACCAGAAAGGCAAGTTGAGGACAGATTGTGTGACGCCTGAATGGCAGGCCCAAGACCTACTCTCCTGTAAGGTGAGCTCTCTTTGTGCCAGCCCTGAGGGCAGTTCAGCAAACACCATGCATGTGAGCCAGCACCCATGAAGCCACTCAAAAAACGGATTTGGTGGGGTGCATGGGTGGCTCAGTCAGTTAAGCATCCAACTCTTGATTTTGGCTCAGGTCATGATCTCACAGTCGTAAGACTGAGCCTTACATTGGGCTCTATGCTGAGCATGGGACCTGCCTGGGATTCTCTCCCTCTCTCTCTCTCTCTGCTTCTACTCTGCTCCCACATGTGTTCACCCCGTGCCTCTCTCTCTGTCTCTCAAAAAAAAAAAAAAAAAAAAGGGTTTGGCAATCATGTTGGAAACAGAGTTCCAAAGGCGTGCCATAGTTTGGACATTGAGGAAAAAGAACTAAGGATCGTGCCCACTGAGCGCGGAGTCCCAGCCCTGACACTGGGTCTGAAAATGAATGAGTGCTGGGGGGTGTATGAGAAGAAAAAGCATAAGGAGAAGAAAGGGAGAGAGGAGGAGGCAGACCTGGGGCTTCCTGCCAGAATGTTTGTGCTCCTCCCTCCACATTGTGTACCCTCCCTCTGTGCCAGGAAACCACGCCAGCAGGCCAAGCCTCTGATGGTACCTGTCCAGCTGCTGCCAGCAGGTTTGGTTAGACTGTGCCTTTGCTCAGGCCTGTGACTCCTGCTGCTGCTCTTAATAGGTGAGGAACCACCATCGGTTCCCACTGGGGTCTCTGCCAGGTCCGTGCCCATTTGGATCTTGAGCCTAGTAATTAGGTCTAGAGGAATCACAGGGGCCAGGGGGCAGCTCTGTTTGGATAGACTCAAGAAAGCTCAACTGCTTCTCTGAACTTGGCCTCTTTGGGGTCTGCAGTGGGGAGCCAGCGAGGCCGGCCGGGAGGCTTCAGCCTTACCTGCCAACGTGTCCTCAGGAGAGGGCCTGGGGCGGCTGCCTCCCCGTCTGCCATCAGTGAGAAGCTTGTGTTGATGGAACCAGAGCACACAGAGGAGCACGGGACAGGGGAACGAGTGCTGAACCGGGGGGCAAAGACCCAGACCCAAGCCCTCCCACCTGTAAGCTGTGTGGCCCTGGGCAGTTCCCTAACCGCTCTGAGTCTCCGCTTCCCCTTTTGGAAAATGGGGATTCGATTCCTACCCAGCCCGCTTCACAGGGTTGGAACAATGAAGGGTTCCTGGGAAAGCATTTTGCCTTTTATAAAGTGCCACGTTAAGTATGAGGGGCCGTTAGCAGAGAGGACTTGGGCTCCATCTCCTGAGAGTGGGGGTGGGCAAGAATTTGGGTCCCACCGCCTCTGTCCGTCGCATGCACAGTACTTCCCTATGCTCTGAGGGGCTGTGGGCCCCTCCTCACAGCAGAAAGACAGAGGCTTCTCGCAGGTGTGAACCTGGCAGGCCTCCCTGGCACTGGCAAGGCCCAGGGCAAGGGCCCACACAAAGGCCATTTCCCATATGTCTCATATTTAAAAGTCATAAATCAAGCTAACAAACCGTTAAATGAAATATGCTCTGTCCTCCTACCTTGTTAAATACATCTCTGTAGCAACCTGGAAGGCCAAGAGTGAATTCAGAACTCTGGGATTCCTTGGTATCCGTGCCAGGACCTGGCTGAGTGGAGAAGCCTGGCCAGGCGCTGATCTGCCCCGCCTCCCTTCCCACCCCTAGCCTCGCTCATCATCCTACGGGGCTTCACACGCAGATGTGAACATCCGATCTCACATTCAAGTTCTGTCCACATCCCCCACCAGTCCTCGGGCCCAGGGTGCACATGCCCGTGACATGGGCTGGGGAAGAGGCTGGGAGAGGCATGGGGCTATTTGGACCGGACCACTAGGGTGGGCTAGAAGGAGGGGCTCAGGCACCAGGTAAATGACTCAGAAAAAGAGACTTAAAAGAAGTGTCACAACATCCAACCCTGTCCTGATTTTTCCCCTGATTTTTTTAAACATTTTTCAAAAAACGATACTTTGGGTTTCTCTACTATGCTCATGCCCTTTAGTACACAGCCAGCCAGCACTGTGATGATGTGCTGTCCTTCCCCATACCTTTCTACAAGAGAAGGAGACGCGGTGGCCTCCTTTCCAATGTCTTTAAAGAAACTGACACATTGCTGGCCCGAGGGGATATGGTTTCAGTGGCCACAGGGTATTCAGCTTAGAATCAAGTAACAAACCCATCAGCCAACATCCTGTCTGTGCTGAGCACATGGTCCTCAACCCCAAGGAGTCAGGCTGCTGGGAGCGCCTGGGGATGGGGTCTCCTGGTGTTTGAGTCATTTAAATTGGGTGGGGGAGGATGGAGGAGGATCCCTACTGAGCACTGACTGGGCAACCTTTGGCCAGGTCCTGCACCCTTCTGTTCAGGCTATCTGTGTGGCCAACAAGGGACTGTGTGAGTGACAGTCAAAGCTCCTCTTGCTTCTCCTGAGTTCACCGCTGGCCCCACCGAAGGCCCAGTTGCAGAGAAAGAGGCCGAGAGCGCAGACCTCTGCCTGATTTATTCAGGTCCACTTCTCAGAAGCGCAGAGGTCACAGGCTGTTTGGGGGGATGCCCCCCCCCCCGAAACCCCATCCACTGCCTGCTGTGGAGACGCCGACAGTGCAAACTCACCAGGCACCATCCCTGTCAGCGTCGGTGCTGAGTAGCTGCCTTGTCCGGCGGGGGGGACGTGCGGAGGGTACCCGGGGAGGGTCGTGCTCGCCAAGTCACGGCCTGAGGAATCAAAGCAACAAATCACGGGGTGAGTGTCTCCGTGGCCAGCCGCTCATGTCCACAGCTCCTGGGACATCTGCACATTTGTCACGTCTGGGAGCTGAACGCCAGTGTGCGGCACCCCCCCCCATCACTCATGCATGCACACACACACATGCACACACGCACACACGCACACCCCTCCAGCCACCCTGGCTCCGCTCAGCAGGAACCCCGGCCAGCTCTGCTGCTTCCCTGGGAAAATGGAGCTCAGGCCAGCTCACTCTGCAAGAGCTAGAGTAGCACTTGGACTTCTCCCCCTCCACACCTTTGCTTCTGCTGTGCCTCAGCACGAAGCACCCTCTCCTCCAACCGCGGGCAACCCAACACCGCCCACCTTCAAAGCCCAGCTCAAACACCTCCTTCCTCCTCCTGCTCCTCCTCAGACCCCTGACTGAATTCCTCCTTCAGCCTCCAGCTAGTCAGTCACTCAACAAAGGTGCAGGAAATGTACTTCCTCACACCAGACACTGTTCCGGGCCCGGGACGTGGAGGTTCAGGCCACGGCTGTTGCAGGCAGACCCTCTGTGCTCCTCTCTCTTTGCAGGCTACCAGCTCCCAGGTGGCAGGGCATTCATGCACCACAGAGGTTGGAGCCTGGTGGGCCCTGAGTAAACGCAGAATGAATGGTGTGCAAACGTGCTGGATTTCACGCGATGCAGAAGAAACCGCAGGCAGCAGAACTCGGCGAGGGAGGTGCCACTGAGGTGCGCCTGCCACTTAGGGAAAAAGAGCCACAGCCCTTTCAGGCATTGCCAGTTACGTGAACGTGACAAGGTGTTCATGGGTAAGGCAGTACCCCGGATGTTGGGCAATCAGACTGTTCTGTGGTTATATGTGTTGGGCCCTGAGGACAAAACCCCACCCTAGTGGGTGGAAGTAGGTTGCTCCTGGAAAGAAGGAGATGCACTGGCCTGAGCCATCCCGGGAAGCAGGTGGGAAACGAGGTAGCCTTGGGACAAGGGAGGGAAAGTGGATCCTTGACCTCCTCTGAATGTGGACACTGAAGACTGGGTGGGGGCTCCTGACCATGAAGAGCCAGACCAGGTACCAGGACCCTCCCCTGGGGCCCAGCAGGGTGGTACAGGCTCTACCACAAGTAGATGGCTCTGAGTTCAGCCCCATTAGCAGGTGGCCCAAGGGGAGGGACCAAAGAATCACTCCAAACACTCCCCAAAGAAGCCAAGCCAGCACATGGTATGAGCCGTGAATGTTCCCCAGATAAACCAACAGCCTTTCTAGTGCCAGTCATTCAAAGACTGTCCGGCCAGCAGCCAGAGGCTGCCTCATTTCACAGGGTTCTGCTTACCTTCCAGAACCTTATGGAACACCAGGCATGTGGCTGCCCCTTTCCTCTGCTCGCCACCACCCTGGCTTTGGACTGGGCATCCTAGCTTGTGACAAGCACTGCTCATGTCTCGTTGTATGAGGCATTGTAAGGGGAGCAAATGAACTGCACACATGACTCCCCACAAGAGCTGACATTAAACAGAAAACTGGAATTGGCAGAACTGACCGTTTGCAAAGTGATTTAAGGAGGTCCCCCCACCTGCCCTCTTATACCTTCCCATCTTATCCTCCTCAAACCCAGCACCCACAGCCCTCTATGGCAGCTCCTCTCTCTAGAGTGTAAGCTCCAGGGTCAAGTCGCTAAGGTCTTTGTGCGCTAAGGTCGGATGGCATAGGCCTGCAAAAATCTACTGTCTCATTAATCAAACGAGGTTAGAAAGAAATATATGTTAAGTGAAGGAAGGAAGAGGTCCTGTTGGAGCAGCAGAGCTCTCTGGAGCCTAGAAAAGTCCCTCCATTTGTGGTCAAGAATCAGTGAAGGGAGGGCCCTTGAAGCTCTTCTTGACCAACCCCTGTTGCTGTTCTGCAGATGGAAAAGCTGAGACCCACGGTGGGTGGGGAGCAAATGGCTCAGGTTCCACAGGGAGCAGGTGGCAGAGCAGGGACCTCAGCCCACATTTCCTAACATCAACCCAGGACCCTCCTCTACCTTAAGCAACATCGTGGTGGGGGTGGGAAGAGCACTCACACCCAACACAGAGCCCTCTCCGCACTGTCACGGAGCCTTGGTGACCCGAGGGCTGCTGCAAAGGAAGAGGAGCGACCATAAGTGTCAGACTAGTTGGTACAAGATCAAAATGCCAGGGGACAGACCGTGAGACGTGTAGAGAAAGCAGCCATGGCTGGGCTGTTCCGATGGGTGTGGAGCTCTGGTCCCCAGCACCACCCCCAGGCTCATGCCCCCTGCCCCCGATGATGTCAACAAACCATAAACATTTACACTGAAATTATGAATGCCAGTCTCTGGGGGCGCCTGGGTGGCTCAGTCGGTTAAGCGTCTGACTTTGACTCAGGTCATGATCTCGCAGTCTGTGGGTTCGAGCCCCACATCAGGCTCTGTGCTGATAGCTCAGAGCCTGGAGCCTACTTCGGATTCTGTGTGTGTGTCTCTCTCTGCCCCTCCCCCACTTGTGCTCGCTCTCTCTCTCTCTCTCTCTCTCTCTCAATAGTAAATAAACATTAAAAAAAAATACATACATACATACATACCAGTCCCTGTTCTCAGTCTCTGAAATCATTAGCTCATTTAACCCTCAGCAACCCTGAAAGGTAAGGTGCTGATACTTCTCCCATTTCACTGGATAATGAGACAGAGAAAGGGCAAGTACTTTGTTCAAGGTTGCACAGTAAGGACCAGGATTTGAAGCCAAGTGGCCCAATGTCAGAGGTCACACGTTTAGCCACTCCACTTCACTGCCATGCACATACACCTGCTATGCTTCTGACCACGAGTCCAGAGGCTCCAGGTATCTCTCAGCTGGGACACCCAGGCTGAGCCTTGCCTTCGGCACACCGTCACCATTGCTTATTGGCTCTATCATGCAAAAGAAAATTCAGCTACACAGATTTTGTGGATATATGTGTAGGGATAGGAGCCAAGACCACATCAGAGGGAGGCCAAATCTGCCTCTTGAAAGACAGTGGGTGCTGGGGCGCCTGTGTGGCTCAGTCAGTTAAGCGTCCGACTTCGGCTCAGGTCATGATCTCACGGTTCATGAGTTCAAGTCCCACATCAGATTCTCTGCTGTCAGCACAGAGCCCACTTTGGACCTTCTGTCCCCCCTCTCTCTGCACCTCTCCTGCTCGTGCTCCTTCTCTCAAAAATAAATAAACATAAAAAAAAAAAAAAGAGGGCATTATCCTGACAGGAGGCCTCCTGTGCAGGTAGTGCATGGGGGCCAAGCCTCATGAGGTCCACATCCCACCTGGTTGCCTGAGATTTGGGAAAGAGGGTCCTGGGCTGAGAATGGACTTGCCCAAGGACACTCAGCTGATTTCAGAAAAGGCTGGGACTGGATCGCAGCTCTCCTGCCTCCTGCGATTAGGTTCTTTCTTGAACAGAGGCTGTGCCTTTAGTCAGAACCCCAACAGTTTCTGCCACTCTTACACATGCTTTAAAACCTTGATCCCTAAAGCAGAAAATGCAGTGCCTCACCAAAGCACTTAACTCAAGAAGCCAGATAAAAAAGTAATAAAATGAACTGAAGGAAAGAAGGAGGAAGGAATCGATAAAGAAAAAGCAGAAAATAATGAATCAGGAAAGTGAAAAAAGCAGACACAACAATAAATGCAACCAAGAATTGTTATTTGAAAAGACCAATAAGATAGACAAACCCAGGGCAAGATCCAAAAAGGAAGACACAAACATCGAGATAAGGAATGAGAAGACACAACCACAGACGTGGAAGAGATGATATTTAAAAATATTTTTTAAATGCAAAAGATGCTCTACATTAATAAATGTGGAAATCTCAACAAAAAGTATATTTTTCTAGGAAAACATGAATTACCAAAATTAACTCAAGAAGTAGAAAACATGAACACCCCAACTGCCTTGGCAGAAACAGAAAAAGTTGCGTTTTTTTTAAATTATTTTTTAATATAAGATGACTTATTCACTTAGCTTTCACGCAAGTTTCTTGTTTGTTTTGTTTTGGGGAAGTTTTTTGAAACCTTCGAAGGACACATACTTTTGTTATTAAACTGTTCCAGGATATATAAAACTAAAGGAAATCTTCCCAATTCATTTTCCCAGCTAGCATAATCCTGCTATGAAAACTTAACAAAGGTGTACAAAAATGAAAATTAAAGGGTAATGTCACAATTTATTAATATACATGCAAAAAATCTACTGTCTCGATAATCAAATGAGGTTAGAAAGAATAATATACCATGAACAAATAAGGTTTATTCCAGGTATGCAAGGATGATTCAGTATTAAAGCATTGGTTGGGAAATCATAGTAACACATCAAAAGTTGAAAAACATATGATTATATCAAAGCTGATGGAAAGCTTTTCTTATGTGGAAAAGGCATTGGCTAATAAATTCAATACTAATTCCTTCCAATACCTCTCGGTAAGTATACTTCTTTGATCTGGTATTTATCTTAAATCCTGAATCAACATCATATTTAATTGGTGAAATACTTGAAACATTCTTTATTAAAATAAAAAAACATGTCAAGGAAACCTGTTATCACTTCCGAAAGTTTTAGCCAGTACAAGAAGACAAGATAGAGACACAAGGATAAGCACTGGGAGTAGGGGAAACACCAAAATTTCAGTAGCTGGGTATACCGTGAGCCTGGAAAGTCAGCTCATCTGAACCAGTGAAAAGGTTTGGCAAGGCAGCTGGGTAATGGATGTCTAGAATCGGACACTTAACCGACTGAGCCACCCAGGCGCCCCAGCGCCCTCTGTCTTTCAAGAGGCAGATTTGGCCTCTCTCTGATGTGGTCCTGGCTCCTATCCCTACACATACATCATCTTGAATGAATGGTAATCTCACACCAAAATGTAGGGAAAACATAATATGAAACTATTTTAGACCACGTAAATTTAGTTTTATGAAAAACAGAAAAGAAACCCTTTGAAGTTCTTCCTACTAGA